CAAACCAAAGCTCGTATTTTTTGTTCGACAGAAGCTGTCTCGAACATAAGGCCTGAAGGAGTTTTCCTGATATTGGACACCTCGCGGCGGAGATGTCGAATAAGGGGGCAAAACAGGAGGTCCTGATAACGTTCTACTCGTCGGAATCCTTTAGCACATGTTGTATGGCTTTAGTGTGTCGGGTTTTGAGTAGATGTTGAGACAGACGTTGGGGAATCTATCTGTAGCAAACAGGCGAGAGGGTAAATTGATATCATGCGGGACATCAATGCCAGTGGCACCTGAAAAGGCAAAGATATAATACGCATTAGAGTACCGAAAACGAAAACAACGATTACGTGCGGTCTATTTGTGATGTGGACAATGTGTCGTGGATATGGTCATGTGGACATGAGTCGTAGATGTGACATTGAAATTAAAAGCAACGTATAAATGGAAAATAGATAAGTGGATGGACACTTGTGAATGGATATATACTTGTGGATAAATATATAACGACGAATGAAAGAAATGATAGGAAATGGACAATAGATCTTAGATATTTGTTTCGTTAAAGCGAAGTCTAAATGAAATGAACTGACAAAACAGATAAAAATGGATAAACATATATGGATCTGAACAAAAAATGGCAGAAGAATAATATTGGATTCAAAATTTTTGACGGTAATCAAAATATTGAGTGCAATCTGGGTAATATTGAAAGACGGACATCCGAAACGAAGCGGGTTGGTGGATTTGGTGGAGTGGGGACTTCAAACAGAGTTTAATGCGGAGCGGAGAGTACTAAATTGGAGATCAGTTGGTGATATGTACCTTCCATTTTGATGTTCTTGTTTCGGCCTTGTTGCTCCAAAAAGTGATATCAGAGCAATCCAGATATGCAAATGTAGTTTGAATCGGCGAACGAGTAGTTGTAGTCGAGTGAATTTTCTGGAGTGGCGGTGGTGATAACTAGGGTTTCGACCGAAAATCTCAAAAGTCGGAATGAGGAAGATGTTTTTACAAGGAGATGTAAAAAAGCGGCTTTGTTACTGAGTAAGTTAAATGTGGAGAGGGGTGATTCAGTCTTTTTAGAAGGAGGAAGTTTGTCACCAGCTGAAAGTGTCTACATGTGTGAACAAAAGATGAGAAAGTATCTATGTAATTCTCTCTTAGATTATAGGTTTTTGTTACTTTGTGATTTTTAGTTTGTAATTTGTATTAATATTGAATTTTTTTTTTAGCTGTTTGTGTTATGTTTTGAACAAATTTATGTTATATTTTCTATATTTAATCATTTGAATATTTTATGTTATAGTTTTTATATTTAAATTTATGTTCCTATTTTTAAAATTATTTATCTAACATATATTAAACAAGAAGCATTAGTTGCTTATGTGTCATTATCTCAGAATTTTGAATTTTTTAAATTTCAATAATAGTTAAAAACCTAAATAATTTATTATTGCAACCAAACACAATCTTTCTTGCAATCAAACAAAAACTTTTCTAATTATTTATTTTTTAATTATATTTAATGTTTTTAAAATTTGCAATTAATATTTAGGTTTTTTTGTATATAATTTAAACAATTTGATTTAAATAAATATGACAGAAAATTTAAGTGAATCATTATTTTTTTTTAAAGTATCTAACATATATTAAACACGAACCATTAGCTTAGGTGTCATTATCTCTTTTTATAATATTTTTTATTGATTTATTTTTGTATATTATCCTTATTACCAAACACTTTATTTTAAATTACTTAAATTAAATCGAATTTAAATCAAACCAATCACAAATAACATATATTAAACAGGAAGCATTAGTGGCTTATGTGTCATTATGTCAGAATTTTGAATTTTTTAAATCTTAATAATAGTTAAAAACCTAAATAATTTATTCTTACAACCAAACACAATCTTTTTTGCAACCAAACAAAAAAATCTCTAATTATTTATTTTTAATTGCATTTAATGTTTTAAAATCTGCAATTAATACTTAGGTTTTGTATATAATTTAAACAATTCGATTTAAATAAATATGACAGAAAATTTAAGTGAATCTTTGTTTTTTTCAAAGTATTTAACATATATTAAACAGGAAGCATTAACTTAGGTGTCATTATCTCTTTTTCTAATATTTTTACTGATTTATTTTTGTGTGTTATCCTTATTACCAAACACTTTATTTTAAATTACTTAAATTAAATCGAATTTAAATCGAACCAATCACAAATATCTAACATATATTAAACAGGAAGCATTAGTGGCTTATGTGTCATTTTCTCAGAATTTTAAATTTTTTAAATCTCAATAATAGTTAAAAACTTAAATAATTAATTCTTGCAACCAAACACAATCTTTCTTGCAACCAAACAAAAACTTTTCTAATTATTTGTTTTTTAATTGCAATTAATGTTTTAAAAATTGGCAATTTTTAAAAAAGTATCCAACATATATTAAACAGAAAGCATTAACTTAAGTGTCATTATGTCTTTTTTTAATATTTTTTACTGGTTTATTTTTGTGTGTTATCCTTATTACCAAACACTTTATTTTTAAATTACTTAAATTAAATCAAATTTGAATCAAACTAACCAAACATAATTTGATAGTTTTATTGGTTTAGTAAATTAAATTAGTTACCTGTTTTGTTAATAGAAATAAAAATTATTTACATGTTTTAGATCTACGAGTATTTATTGTTTTGCAACAGCTTTGATTCACATATTATACAAACAGAAAAATAATATTATCTTTTGAAACCTCGGACGAAAATAAATATAAATCTCGCATTGTATTAAATTAAAAACGAAAATAACTAATTTTTCTCAAATCTCGACTAAACATTTTTAGATACCCAAATATTTTTCAAAACTTAATAAATTATAGAATATTTCTTAAATATTTTTACAAACATTACTCCTGCACGAACGTGTGGGTAGTAACCTAGATATATAATATATAAAATATTATTAATTAGTTAACCCGCAGTGACCCGGATCAACCCAACTAAACCTAGAAACCCAGTGACCCGATAAACATTTGGATTTGCTTTCCGGATCGGGTTTCAAAACATTGATATGACTATGAGATTTAATTCTAAAGGAGCCGAAGCGTTTCATATTCATATAGATTTTTATTTTGGATTTTCTGCTTGAAATTATACTTTGATTTTCCGATTAACAAATTTAGCTATGTACCACTCGGGTTCTGGGTTTAACCTCTGTATGTTTTGGTAGTTTGATTGCCAAGAGTCTTCATCAAGATATAATGGGGAAGCAATATGAAAAGAAGATCACTTGGACGATTAAGAATTTCTCTTCTTTGCAGTCTGAGAAAATTTGTTCTGATCAATTTGGTAATGTTTTTATGGAATGCAAATACATCCTTATTATATTTTTTTTTAATAAAAATTGTCTTAAAACCTTTTGACATTTAAAAATTGTCTCAAAATTACAATTTCTTTTTATAACTAAAATTACAAATTATTGACTTCAAAAGTTTAAAAAGGAATAGTGAGGAAAAGTGTGATTGGTGAAAAGAAAAAATCAAAAAACTTTAACAAAAAAAAATTAAAAACCTCCACAGTTCCAACTAATCCAAAGTAAGAGAAAAAAAAAAAAAATTTACCAAAAGCACAACAAAAAGATGAAAAGATACAATATTCCAAAAATTAAATAATGGATTGAAGATTCACATCCTTACTGTACATGTTTTTTATAAAAAAAAAATGTCTTAAAACCTTTTGACATTAAAATAATGACTGTGATTTAGCAAACAAAATTACAAATTATTGACTTCAAAAGTTTAAAAAAGGAACAGTGACAAAATCACTAAAGTGTGATTGGTAAAAAGAAAAACTAGAAAAATTTAACAAAAAAATGAAAACCTCTATAGTTCCAACTAATCACAGTTTTGATTGGTAACATGAGATACCATTGATTTAGTTTGCATTAACAGTCTAACTCAAAAATGTCACCAAATCATCAACTTTTTTTAACTTTTTTTTTGCATTAGACTTTTAATTAGTTACAATGTATCATAGTTGCATTATAATTTTGAGTTAATTCTTTTAAAAATAGCTAACTTAACTCAAATTCTTAAATCATAATAATTTTGATGAATTAGAGTTTGACTTACCTTTTTACCTTTTTTATAGTTAGAATTAACATTTTTTGTTGTTTCATTATTTATTTTTCTCTTTTATTTATCAATATAAATAATTTTATATTTACACCAAATATATATAATTTCTAAAACAATATGGTCTATTTATCATTTAAAAAAACTTTCAATTATTCTATTTTATTATTTTAGTACTTTTCATAAAAAACATTCAATTATTTATTTATATATATAATTTATAAAAATATGTTTTGGAATATGTATATTATTACTTTATTTCAATGCTGTGTTATAGATTTATATATATACATATAAAGTTAATTATTCTTAAATTAGATTTAATTCATTTAATCTATCTAATTTAAATTTGAATATATATTTATTGATAATTTAAATATATATCATTTTTACATACTACAATTTTTTCTGTATAAAAGAACCAGTCATCGATTTAATAAAAAATACTAACTCATATTTCTACAGCAAACTCACACATCTACTGTTTACTGTAAACTATATCGAATTATAACATCAAATATAAATCAACTTTAAAATTACATGTTACTAAGCACAGCTTACATCCTCAGTTGAATTAACACATTGAATTAACACATTTATAACTTATATATTAAAGATGAAAGGGAAAGTTTATAAAGCTAGCTTTGACATGTAAATCACACATAAAAAATGGAAACTCTTAAAGTTGTTAATGAAAATCTATAAACTATTTAAAAACTATTTTTTTTTAAAATGTAAAGGAAAAATAATCCAAAATCAACCAAATGGTTTTGTGTATACCCCAAATAGGATCCTGTAGTATATTATAAAAGCGGGTTGTATCTATTTTAAAGGTGTTAATTAATCTAATTTCTTAAAACGACGTCGGATATGGATTGTGGCGTAAAAAATAAAGTGAAGAAAATCTCTTAAGCTGGATCGTCTTTCTTCCGGGATCGACTCGCTCTGAGTCGACTCGTACAGACTCGGTCCGTTTCTTCCACTCTCTTTCCCATCAATTTTTTTTTTTTTTTTTTTGCGAAATTCACCGTCTTCTTCGTCCTACTATGCCCTAAGTCTCTGTGGCTACCCTTTTTCGTCTTTTCACTTTAGCCCCACTAATCTGACGGCTCTGCTTCCGTCCACGTCAGCTTCGTCTCCTTCAACCCTCTAATTCTCTCTCTCTCTCGGTCACCGTCTTCTTCTCCCTCTTTAGTTTATCGCGTTATTTATACGGTTTCATCTCTAGGGTTTCCTCCAGATTCATCTACCATTCTCCTCTCCCCTTTTCCTTTTTTCTTTCCTGACTCCTCCAGTAACCAAACTTTTGCTGACGCGGAAGCATTGGAGCTCCAATTTTGCTCAATTCTGGAGAAATTTTGAGGTAATTTTGATCATAATTCATCGAAATCTTTTATTCCAATTGAATTGGTACTGTGGAGTTTACAATTCTTCACTTAATTTTTTGTTCGATATCTGAATTTTTGTTTTTTGTTTGGCGTTTATGCTTCGTGTGTGTTAGGGTTGTCGTTCTGTCCGACTTTTATCGTCGAAGAACTGTTTCGTTGAGTGGGATTGGGGGTTTTATGTGGGATGGCGATCGAGAAGAGTAACGTAAAGCTCTCGAGGTTTGATTCAGAGTACTCTCATGGCAGTGGTGAATCTATGTCAAGTTACGAAGGAGATGAGAGGCTTGAACTTCAACGTAAAACCTCAGCAGCGGTGGTTCATGTTGATTCTGATGACGAGGATGATGATTTCGACGAGGATGACTCTGGAGCAGGCTCTGATGATTTTGATCTGCTTGAGCTTGCGGAGACTGGTGCCGAGTTTTGTCAGGTTGGGAACGTGACTTGTAGCATTCCTTTTGAGCTTTATGATCTCTCTAGTCTCGAAGATATACTCTCTGTTGATGTTTGGAACGAGTGTCTCACTGAGGAAGAACGGCTCAGCCTCTCGAGTTACCTTCCTGACATTGATCAGCTCACGTTTATGCTTACCCTGAAAGAGCTTTTCGAGGGTCGTAATTTCCACTTTGGCAGTCCGATCAAGAAACTGTTTGGCATGTTGAAAGGTGGGCAGTGCGAGCCCAGGAACGCGCTTTATCTCGAGGGTCGTAGTCTGTTTCTAAGAACAAAACATTATCATTCCTTGAGGAAGTATCACAATGACATGGTCGTGAATCTCTGTCAGACGAGGGATGCTTGGGCGAGTTGTAAAGGGTACAGCATCGATGAGAAGCTCCGTGTCCTGAATATCGTCAAAAGCCAAAAGACTCTGATGCGTGAGAAAAAAGATGATTTTGAAGAGGATTCATCGGAGAAGGAGGAGCCTTTTGATGGGCTTTGGAGCAGAAAGGTCAAAGATAGGAAGTCTGCGCAGAACAAAGTGGCGCGTCACTCTGGTTATGGTGTTGATTCAGGTGTGGAATTTCATAGCCGGCGGCAGCTTTCTGCTGCAGAGCAGGATAGATATGGCAAACCAAAGTCGAAGTCGAAGACGGCAACACTGAAGTATCCTTTGGCTAAAACGTCTGTTGGGCCATATGCTTCAGGCTATAATGGGTTAGGTGTGAACTCTGCATACAACACCTCTTCTCTGGCTCGGAAGAAGTATGGTTCAAGTTTGGCTCTTGGGTCAGAAGATAATATTGATGATGATGATCAGGATCCACTCTTTGGAATGGGTTCTCGACGAGATCGGGATCTTATTGTTAGAGATAGATCTGGGTTCTTGAAGCCTGGAAAGAAACAAAAGTTTTCAAGAGAGGGAGAACCGATCTCTGAACATTTCATGGGTCCACCATATTCACCAAGGCAGTCCCACAGCAATTTTGCAAAGTCAAGTAAATATGTAAATTATGCTCAGCCTCATGCATATGCAGATCAGATGAAGCCTGTAAAAGGTAGTCTCCCAGACCTTCGTGGGGACGCCTATCGGCATGGGAAGAATCACGGAGATGGCCTTTCTGTTTATCCCAGATATATATCTGATGACTTGAATGGTAAAAGCAAAAAGTTGAAGTCTGAGAGGAACTCACCTGATACTAGTTTGAGATCTTATAGAGCTTCTATGCAACAAATGAACGAAAGGTTCTTGAATTCTGATTTTGGTGAGAACCAAGCGCATGAAAAGATTAGGGTGAATGTGGTACCAAATGCGAGGTCTGGTATTACGGAATTTAGAGATAGCAGAATGTTCATGAGAAATGATGATACAGAGTCGGATTCATCTGAGGGGTATGATGATGGTGAGGAGAGAAATCGCTTCATACGGAACAAATCATCCGTCTCTGTTGGTAGGATGAATAATGCTCACTTTCCAGTACTAAGATCCGGACAAGATAGTAAAATGTTCAAATCAAGAAAGAAAGATATGCGGGAGAATGAATTGCTTGATGGACGTGGTGATTACTTGAGATATTTAGGCGCACATGGAGAACACATCTATGCGCCTGAGACAGAGAAGCATTCCTTCAAGGCAAAACAAAAGGGTAAGATGCGTGACAGGAGTCCCTTCTCTCGAGATTTCGAAGATGGCCCTGTCACAAGCTTGAGTGAGTTGAAGGACAGAAACAAGAGGAAGGAGTTATTCAGGCCAAACAAGAGTAGCCAGACAAGAGAGCAAATGACTGATAGACAACGGTTTCAGAGACCATCTGCAAAACCAAATTTGTCTGGGAGAAAAAGAGGCTTTGATGAAGATGACGAATCACCTGAGATGAGAAGATTGGTTAATGATAGTGGCCGAGGTCGACATAGTAGGAAATATCAGGTCTATGAGGGAGATGGTAATAGTGGTGATGAAATTTCAGATGCCAGGTTGTTGGTTAATTGCAGTACTTTATCAAAGAAGAAGAAGGCTAGAGAGTCTTTGATGGATATGGAGAGGAGGGAGGATAATGGTGAGCTGCAGCTTTATTCTGACATTCAACAGCCGGTTAATGATATTAATGCCTCAAAGAGAAAGGGGAAGAGGAAAATGGAGGTTGATGTTGATTTTCTCGATCTGGAAACCTCTGAAACACCAAAAACAGGAAAGGGTGCAAGTGAAGCAGAGGTGGAAACAAAGCCTCAGAAGAAGCCATTTGTGTTGATCACACCAACAGTTCACACTGGCTTCTCTTTCTCCATTATACATCTTCTCACAGCAGTGCGTATGGCGATTACAACTTCGCGTCCTGAAGATTCATTAGATGTTAGCAAGCCTATGGCAGTGGAGAATGCAGAACACGAAGCTGTAGAAAATGGTGCTCCCATGTCCAAGGATGCAGAGGATAACAAATCGCCACAGCAGGGAAGTGGGAACTTGCCATCCCGCACTATCCAGGAGATTGTTAGCTGTGTGAAGTCAAACCCGGGAGATCCTTGTATCCTGGAGACACAAGAGCCGCTTCAGGATTTGATTAGAGGAGTTCTGAAAATCTTCTCCTCGAAAACCTCACCTCTAGGGGCAAAGGGTTGGAAGCCGCTTGTAGCATTTGAGAAGTCCACGAAAAGCTGGTCTTGGATTGGGCCTGTTCTAAGCCCTTCTGATCAAGAAACTGTTGAAGAAGTAACATCGTCTGAAGCCTGGGGTCTCCCGCACAAGATGCTTGTCAAGTTGGTTGATTCATTTGCAAATTGGCTGAAAAATGGTCAGGAGACTCTTCAGCAAATCGGGAGTCTTCCCGAACCACCACTGTCACTCATGCAGTGTAACCTTGACGAGAAGGAAAGATTTAAGGATCTGAGAGCCCAAAAGAGCCTTAGCACAATTACCCACAGTTCCGAAGAAGCAAGAGCTTATTTCCGCAAAGAGGAGTTTCTGAGGTACTCAATTCCGGACAGAGCCTTTGTGTACACGGCTGCTGATGGTAGGAAGTCGATTGTTGCTCCTTTGAGAAGAGGCGGAGGGAAGCCAACCTCGAAAGCTCGGGATCATTTCATGTTGAAACGTGAGAGACCGCCACATGTTACAATTCTGTGTCTTGTGAGAGACGCTGCCGCAAGATTGCCTGGTAGTATTGGGACAAGAGCTGATGTGTGTACCTTAATAAGAGACTCACAGTATATCGTGGAGGATGTGACGGATGCACAAGTGAATCAAGTCGTGAGTGGGGCCTTGGATCGTTTGCACTATGAGCGGGACCCTTGTGTCCAATTCGATTCAGATAGGAAACTGTGGGTCTATCTACACAGAGACAGAGAAGAAGAAGATTTTGAAGATGATGGTACTTCATCCACTAAGAAATGGAAGAGGCCGAAGAAGGAAGCTGCAGAGCAAACAGAGGAACAAGAAGCTGTCACTGTAGCGCTTCATGGGGATGACGAACAAACCGGGATGGAGTTGGACTCAGACCAGAAGACTGTTGAGCCTGCTGGTTTAGACGGGGATCAAGAAGCAGCAGACCAACTTTGTAATGAGACTGAACAAGCTGCAGAGGAGGAGCAAGATGTTGAAAACACTGCAAAGGGTCATGAGACAACGATGTGGGAGCCTCATCCTGCTGTTGTTTCATATCATGCGGAGGATAATACATTTATCTGCCAAGAGAACTCAGTGGCTGATGATTTTGACGATGAAACATGATTGGGGAAACTCATTGATACCAAGTAGGTTCCAAACGCTATTCTTTCTTCTATTGTTTCGTTGATCAGATCATCATAATTGTGAGATATCAATAGGTTCACTAGCCCTGAGTCTAAAGTCCATTTCCATTGTGTGATATTGAGTTTGGCAATGGTGAATCCTTCTGACAAGACGACACATTTTTTTCATTGATTTGTATTTTTCAGGTGAAAACTGCAGAGTGTAGTTCTTTAACAGAAAGAGAGGCTATGGATTTGTATAAAGACAATTAATTGGTTTGGTCTCAAAATATGTCAGAAGAGTGAGATCACAACAAGGCTCTCTCACAAACATGTTGAAAGGTTATTCCTGTTGTTCCCATGCCATATATCTTTTTATTTTGAAGAAGAAGAAAAAAATGAAATTAGTGGAATTATTGAATGATTAAACGTCAATATATAAGCATAGGGAAAAAAATAATGTTTCATCAGGTGAACATGAAAATACAAAGGTGATATTCATCTAAAACGGGTCGATGAGAAATCAGAATTCGCTATGATGATTGATGACATTCATACATACTATTGCTCGTTAAAGAGATGGACAAAGCACAATACAAATGAATTTGTGTGGATATTTCATGTCATTTTCATTTTCATGGTTTGTATAAGTTTATATTAAATATTTAATAGTGTCATGTGAAATTTAGTGATTGTGACAGCTCGGAACCGCATAAAAGTTCAGGCAACGTGAGTAGCAGAGGCTTGTTAATAAAAAGGTAGAAAATTTCACACACTTCTTTCAAATCTAAATTTACAAATTTTCATCCTTAAACACAAACCACTAATAATAAGTAATCAACTCCAAAAATTTCTTAACAAAGCAACCTCAAACTTATATTATTACATCTTTCATAGATATAGCTTACAGATTTATGAGAGGTAAGTATCAAAAGAAAAAAGACAATAGCAATAACAAATACAAAGGTGTTTGTCGTATATATGCTTCACTCACTGCTTGCTTTAGGCAAAGTTGCACAAGAAAAATCCAAACTAAACTCACAAACATTACACTTGACCACATGATAATCCACTGAGTTGTGACATGAATCACATTCGCGGATACTGGCTTCGAGTTCGTAATATAAAGGATGTAAATGGCCATCACAGACAAACGGTTCAGAAACTGAACTGCAACGCACATCTAGAGTGTAAAAGACAGACATGTACCTGAAACCAGTCAATGATTTTTGGCAAAGGCTACAAACAAACCAGTCATCTTCGGGATCTTCACCTCTCGCATGTAAAGTAAATGGTTTCCTGTGTGATAAGTGCCGTATCTTCACAGGGAGATTTGCACATTTTTCATGGAGAAAATAATCACATTCCTCACAGCTATATATTGGATCAGATGAGTCGTTGAGAGGAAAGACGCATGCTTCACATCGTGTAGCTTCATCATAAACAACGTTTTCGCTATTAAGCCTTAGATTATGCTCCTCGTGACTGAAATGGTTTATCATGTTATCACCAACCACTTTGAATGGAAGATCTTCGATTTCTTCAGGTATCCCTTCGAGGTTTATCCCATCCCATACTTCCATGCTTGTTGCGCACTGTGAATGAACAACATATTTAGGGCAAATGGAGCAAGTATAAGCCCCATGAAACTGATTCACGGGTCGACGACAGACTCCACAATCCAAATATCCTGGACCAAGATGATTAGTGCGTGAGAGACGATGCTCGTGACGGTTGATGATTACGACTTGTGGTAAATCAATGCAACTTCGATGAACCATAAAATCGCATGGAAGACATGAATAAGAGCTTCGGTCGTCATGCATGCCACAAACATTACAAGTAAATGAGATCTGTCTCGATGAGAGAGTAAGATGATGCTCATGGGTTCTTGAATGCTCAATAACAAGAGGTGGTGGAGTTATCACACAGCCTAAGCATACTCTGAAGTCGCATGTGGAGCAATAGTAAAGCACACGCTCCAATGACACTCCACACAAAAGGCATACCTTATCACCGGAGAGTGAAGCAGATTTGGTGAGCTCAAAACGATGACTTGGGTGAAAAGGAAGGTTAACTTTCTCGGCAAGATTGATACACTCCAAGTGAACGTACTCATCACAAGAAGGTCGTCCATAAAGATATGCACCAAAAACTGGTTGCTCACATACTCCACAACAGCCGAATTCAGTTTGATTTTCTTTTATAAAGACAAATGGAGGTTCTTGGGGATTGGGATGTGGAACAACGAGCGGAAACGATGGTTTCCTCGCGCATGATGTATCAACGTTGAAGTCGCAAATGGAACAATGATAGAAATACGGAGCTTCTGCGACGTAGATGTTCTTGCCGCATAGATCACACATACTTCTTGGAGGATCGTGTGTGAGTTTGAGAGGATGTTCAGGGTGAGAAGGATGGTTGATCTCAGATGGTGATTCGGCGCATTCCTTGTGAAAGAAAACAAGGTTGCAGTCAGAATCGTTACAGCGATAGCCTCCATAGTATTCACCTTGTGTGTTAGTGCAAGCGTCACAATGACCATGAAATCGAGATGAAGAGAACAAAGGATGTTTGTGGATTGGTAGCTTTTTAGATGATGTATCCATGGCTCCTTGAAGAATTTGTTTTGATCTTTTTGGTTTTTTTTTTTGTTTGTTCGTTTTGTTTTCTGAATTGTTCTGATTCCGATCGAAGTGTATTTCACTATTTATCTTTTAAAAAGTATATATATTTTATTACTAGTTGTTTGAGCTGAGCTGTCGGATTGAGATCATTGATCCATCCACAGAGATAATGGATGAGATTTTTGTTTGACCACCTTTTGATTATGCATGTGTGATCATTCTTTTATTCCGTCGGTAATTCATTTGAAATTTCCATTAATAGCCGTCGGAATTGAATATGTTTATCAAATATTCACAGCATGAGATGATCAAATCGTTGATCCATTGGACATGTATTGTTGTTATTTTAATATATCTGCAACAAACTGAAGAACATGTGCTTGAAATCTGCATATTCAAGGAAATTAGTTAGCTTTCCTATTCTTCGACTGTCAACAACTTAAAAATTAAATACACAAGTTGCCAACTACATCAACGTCTCTTTCACAATTATATACTTATAATTAGCCAAATCTCTTTCCAATAAAGCTATTCACATCAACAGTTTTTTTTATAAACTTTTAAAATTTTATTTTTTATAGGACTTCTATAAGTTTTATATATAAATATTTTATAAATCACAAAATTATAAATTATCTAGTTTTTATTTTTGTAATGAATTTTTACATACAAATCTTTTGAATGTTCACATGACATATTTAAGAAATTTAAGATATATTGTATGTATCTACATCTTTTTACTAAATATATTTATTCATTTGACTTTTATTTTTGTATATTACTTACTTTTACTGAAATCAATAAACTAATTAATCATCAATCTCACAAAATTTCTTTATTTTTATTCGAAATAGCATTTTAAAATTTTATCTATAAATGAAACTATAGATTGTGTTTTTCTCCTACTGTTTGGGTCTCAACACTTTATCACTCTCAATTACGTGTTTTCTTGTAGAAATGGTGAATATGATGATATCTATATATTTTATATATATATATATCAATTCTAATAATAACATCACAATTATTATTATATATCAACTCTTATTGTTATTAATATATATATATTCATTTTTATCTTCAAAGTAAAAAATAAGCAAAAAAAAAAAAATACACTAATTAAACATCAATTGTTCTATCTATTCTTCATGAGACACAGGCATGGAACTCCCTTTGATGTATTTTGAAACTATTTTCAAGGCCACATATAAATTCTCTCAAGACAATCAATTCGGGAGAGGTGGCTTTGGAATAGTTTACGAGGGAGGGGGGGCAAGAAATTGCGGCAAAGAAGCAGCTTAAAACCAGTCATTATGGTGACGAAGAATTCTTGAATGAAGTAAAGATGATCTCGAAACTTCAGCACAGGAACCTTGTCCAGCTTCATGGCTGTTGCGTGCATAAGGGCAAGAGGATTCTGGTCTATGAATACTTGGAGAATGGAAGCCTCTACCCATATCTCTTTGGTTAGTGGCTTAGTAGTGCCTTCTTATTGCTGTATTCTACTTGTACAATTGGAAAATGGAAGCCTCTACTCATAGCTCTTCGGTTATCATAACTAGTTTCGGAAATGAGCACACCAGTCTAGTTTAGTAAATGGAAGAAAACATGCTGCTATGAAGAAAATTCACCTTTTTTTTATTACGAAAAATCACTCTCTCTCTCTCTCTCTCTCTCTCTCTCTCTCTCTCTCTCTCTCTCTCTCTCTCTCTCTCTCTCTCTCTCTCTCTCTCTCTCTCTCTCTCTCTCTCTCTCTCTCTCTCACTATATCAGTATATTATTCTTTTTGACGATATAATGCATTGCCATTTTCTTAAATAGGTGTTTATCTTTGACATTTTTTGCAACTAGTAAAGAAAATATTCAAATAGTTTCCATCCTATTCACCTAACAGCAACTTAACAAACTATATCACATGCCTAATAAGAATGGTAGTTGAATTATTGGCTAACCTTCACAACTAAGAACTGAGTCAATACTACAATAAGTTGGTTTGAATAAATAAAGTCATTTTATAATAGTGTCATTAAAATTGCAATTTATTAAAGTAAAGTGTTGTTAACTCATTGATAGCCGCCGGAGAGTCAAAAACAACACAACACAATGCCATCAAAAGTTACAAAACTAAAACATATTGATGTGTGTTGTTTTAAGCATTTATAAACTTAAAATTATTTAGAAGATAATAATTTCCTTTGGTTTCAACTTTCAACCAATAAACCACACAAATAAAGAATATTAAATAAAACTGATGTTTTTGTAAATTCCTCAAACCAAAACTCCATGAAGAAAAAGAGTCTTTACGTGAATACAACAATACTATGTCTCTCTCTCTCTCTCTCTGTACAGTGTGACACAGTAACTTTATTCTCTTGTTGTTTTCAGTTAACAGCAGAGAGAGGAAATCTTGAGTCCGAAACAGCTGCCTCGTAAATAGAGGAAGCACGTATAAGCTGTTGTTGTTGTTGCTGCTGCTTTGCATCACCATTGGCTTGCTTCACCATTTTCTCATCTCGAAACGCTCTCAGTAACTCCTCAGACTCTGGAGTTCTAAGTTCCTCAATGGACTCAATGCTCGGTATGTTAATTAGTCTTTTCCTCGGCGTTGAACACGAAGGCTCATCCACCTGTTGAACACGAAGATCATAACAGGTATTGGAATATTTGTATTGACATATTTGTATCTTATATGCAAATCTTGAAACTTACAACGTATTCATCAAGAAGACATTTCCCTGCGTTGTCTGTGATCTCTACGATCTTGTGATTGTGATCACTCTTTAGCTCTATCAAGTCTTCACAGCATGGGATGATCATGGAGTTCACCTTTGCACATGCATCGTTATCGAGTTTCAACGAATCTGAAAGAATTAGGATAAAACTTTCAGCAAATAATGAAGAAAGAATCTTTTGTTTCGAATCTGTAAATTCAAGGAGAATCGTTTAGCTCTACTCACGGTCAATGGAAGTAAGGAGGCTGCCATTAGCAGCATCAAAGACATCAAGAGAGGATGATACAGCAGACGAGAACTGAGAGCGTAGGTTCTCATTAGCATCCATACCTCCTCTGTTTAAGAGAGATTGAAGTGAATAAGTGACTTGAAAACAGAACATAAACGGATTTATAATCTCGGTGAAGATCATACCTAACGATTGAGTCAACAGAAGCTACGTTGTTTCGTTCTAAACTGACCAGTGATTCTTGAGCTTTTCTCCATTGATGTGCACTCATCTCTGCCTTCTCCAAGCTACATTTGATCCATTTCGAAAGTTCAAGCAAATGCATCCGAAAAAGCTCAGTGCTTATAAACTTTTGTAATAATGAAACTGTGAGATTTATTTATACCAGTTCAAGAGAACTTCTTGCATCGCTTTCTTCCCGCTCTCAACCGCTGAAGTGTCCTCGTGATAGTTCGATTCTGTTTTCACCATGTGAAGAGTCCACTCAGATTTAATGGAAGAAGTTGAATCTTGCATTGTTGACATCTCATGCTGTAGAGTGGTTGTTCTGGTGGATGCGCTCTCCCGTAGATCTTGTACAGCCACTTGGACCTAAAAAAAAGACTGATGAGTTTCCTCAAAGCCTCAAATCAAACGCTAAGAATTAACATGTGGAATTGCATTAACGTACAAGGTTTTTCTTCCTAGCATTAGAATTTGCCAGAAGTTCTGCTACTTTCTCTAGCAATTGTCTTTCTTCATTAGCAGCACATTCCTACAAGACAGAGGAAACAGCATTAAAGCCTACGCAAGACATTATGTGTCAAGAAGCCAAGAACCGGAATCACCTCAAACTTGTTTTCAAATTCGCTCAGTTTCTTGTGGTTAACCGTTTGTGCCTCTTCCACTATCCCGGTTAGTTTGGTTGCATGCGTGTCCAGAGTCTTGAAGAATTCCACTGTTACTTTTGAAACTGACCTTGCTGAATCCACGGCTTGCGAGTGTGCCTGCAGATATCAATGTTTCAACCGAAATGTCTGATATTGATATAAAGGATCATCAATTACTAAACCTTCCGTTGCTGCTGAGCAAATGCAATAAGCTTCTCTTCCTGTTTGTTAAGGCTACTCTGGAGATCTTGTAACAAGATGTCAGCCTCAGAAGCAAAACCTTTGAAAACCTGCAAGAGACAACAAAGGAAGGAGATTGACTCAGAACAGAGATACTAATGGTATACACAATGGTATAATGGGATAGTTAAAGTGCTAAAGTTACATTCTCTAGTTCATGCGAATGTTTAGAAACTTCTGAGTTCAGGCTACCAAATGTTGACTGAGAATTTCCATCTAGCTTCACAGCTATGTTATCAAGAGCTTCGATGCCAGAACCATACACTGTCTTCAGTTTTGAAAGTCTCTCTCGAAGTTCTTCAGTAGCCTTTAGAAGAAAAACCAAAGAGTGAGGCCATGACAGATGCGTCACTGAAAACAAAAAGGCCACAGAGACAAAAATCACCTCAGATTTTGTGGACACAAAGGATTCCATGTCTTCCTCCATGTGTTTTAGTTGAACCTCTTGGTGAGTCACAGAAGAAGCCACAGTCTTATGCAATAGCTCAAGCTGTTGTGTGAGCTGTGACTGGAAGTTTTGGATGAGACATCTGTTTCCATCCTCGATTTTGTCCTTTCTTTCTGCAATACAACAGTAATAATGAACCAGGGAACATCTATCAACAGAAGTTGAAAGTTTTGGTCCATGAGTCGTTTACCTATTTTGGAAAACAAGTTGGAAACATCTGATGCTGCACTTTCTAGTTCCATCCGTAGCTGAAAGGCTCGCTCCACAAGTGATTTTTCTGAATGTCAGCAAGAAAAGTGTTATCAGAATTTCAAACACAAGAGCAAGTCTTTCTCCTCGTGAGAAGGCTAATAAAGAAAATCAAGTACCTGACTTGAGAAGATTAGATATCACAAACTCTTTTTCTTTAATGGTTGAATTCGCCTGTCTGTATTTTTCTTCAAGATCAAACAAGGAGTGCTCAGTTTCCTTAAGCTTTTTCTGATATCCGTAGAGACAAACAGTTAGCTTTTCAAGCAATTCAATCAACAGAGATAAGAAAATGGCTACGGGTAGAGTTGGATGTATATACCTCAGTTTTCTCAAGTTTCTCACTCAACTCCGCAGACAAAAGCTGCTGAGAGTTGTAAAGCTCCTGAAGATCAATTACTTTCTACAGGGCCAAACACAATTGTTATAGAAATATCATGTGATGCGCTAATGGGATATGAAGTCAAATGATGTGGGTTCATACCTTGTCCTTAGATTCCGATTGAAGTTCTAATCTTTCTATCTTTTCAGCCATTGCCTGTGATATTGAAACACAAATGAATAGAGTTACTCTTCACACTCAGGGTTGGAAACAAGGAAAGAAATGATAAGAACAATTAAGTTCACAGAAAACTAAAACCTTTTTCTCAGCCTCTTCTTGAAGATATCGGTCTTTTGGAATATAAATACCGTTTTTCTCTCTCGCAGCGTATACCTCTACGATAAACATTACAACGCCAAGTAAGGAATGCCTTGAAACCAATATATATAATGATTACACTCATACCTTGCTTAAGTCGGTCAATCTCAGAGTACAGATCTTTCATGACAGCAGATTTCATCATCTTCTGGTTGATCTGGAATAAAGAGGAAGTTGTTAGAACCGTTGCTTTTGCGCATGAGACTCAGATTATACAGCAGAAAAATGTCGTTACATCTCACCTCTGGTTTGTTCTTGATATTCTTGGCGCGATGTGCATAATCTAAAGTGCTTAGCGTCTCTTCTAAACAGTGGATGGAAGGTGAGATCGTGGCGATTACACACGTTTTTGTCTTTCCTCCCAATGAATCCCTCAAGAGCCTCGTCAGTTTGCTATCTCTGAAGAATTCAAAAGCAATAGCTGAGTACTCTCTAATGTCAAACCTAAATTGAAGACACCAAGAAGATCACAAACCATCAGTTGCTTACAACTGATCACTTGTACCTGTAAGGAATATGACCCGAGTGCTCAACAAGCGCGTTAATGACACGGCCAAGAGTAAGTAAGCTCTTGTTGATCTCTCCAGCTTCCCTGGCTCGTCCCTGCAACAACCGTAGTCAAATTAGTTACCACTAGCTTCCATGACTGCCTTGAAGACACTGCCTCTTTCATTGTTCAAGAACTGACATCAGAGACAATGATAATAAGATAAGTATACCTCTCGCGCACCAGAACGTGAGATATTCTCGGAACCAGCAAGGTCAACAAGATTTAGTTTCCCACATTTGATCATCTCTTCTCCCTCTGGAGTATTTTCCTTGATGTGAATGGTGATAGAAAATATCGAATGAGAGCGACTACTTTGCTTGTTCAAAAGAGTTTCAGCTGTACGCCTTTTCGCAGAACCTTTTTCCAAGATTTTGTATATTTCGTTCGCTGTACTCACAATTTCTTCTTCCAAGCCACGTACAAAGACACTCCCTTTACCATCTTCCATGAGAGCAATGGATTTTTTAGACTTCTCATCTACAAACTTTGTAGTCTCCTCTGGTGCTAAAAGATCTGAGATTTCCTCATTATATAGCTCTAGGAAGGTGACCTTCATGCTATACTCAGCTCCCTGCGCTTCTAAAATGTCGAAAATTTGCTTAACAGCCCTTGGAATAACACCTGCATCACTCGGGAACTCACCATTCTACAAAAATAGCGACCATAACTATTTATCAAAAACACATGAAAAGTACACTGAATCATACAGAAGCACAGCTACTACATTCGTTTCAAAAGGACCGACCTTTTTCCTTGCACCTCCTTCCATTGTATATGTCTTTCCAGTTCCTGTCTGACCATACGCAAAGATGGTACAGTTGTAACCCTCAAGTACTTCAAACACAATTGGACAAATGGCTTGGTCATATAAGTCCTTCTGTTGAGATGCTGGACCAAAGACCTGAGAAGTTCAGAGAGAAAGTGAGAGACCATTGAGGGACAAGCTTCAATCAAGAAACATGCTTAAGACAACACTCATCAACTATGTAACCTTGTCGAAAGCAAAATGTCTATCAATGTGCTTTCCAGCAATACTTTGAGTAGCAGCAACTTCTCTACGATGCTCGTTACAAGAAATCACCACCGGTGTATGAATCCTGGCCTCGTCCTCGCTCAATGGCCTATAAGAACCAAGAACCGGTGAGAAAGATCAAACTAAAACCCAAATGAGGCCAAAATACAAAAAAAAAAAAGAAGAAATCACCCAAAGCAAACTTAAGAGCTTTATAAACACACCTGCAACGCAATATGACCTGCACATTCACACCCTTTTCTTTATCATTTCTATTAGTGGAATTTGACTCAGAAGATCTTGATTCTCTAGCCGATTTATCACTTGATCGTGGTGTCTGAGCTGGAGATACGGATACAATACCACCTCTTCGTTGCTGAATCGAATCCATTCTGCTAAAATTGTCTACCATTTAGCCACTCCCCTGCACAAATCAATCGATCACATTTGAGTATGGATCCAAACATCATTCTCAAAACCAATCAAGTGAAATTTATTCGAGATGCCCAGAAACTAAAGCTACCAAATTTCTAAATTAAAAATCCAAAAGTCTTGCGGTTTGACCCAAAATTAGCAACTCCCTGACTCAAGCCAGCGTCCATGAATCAGCAAACAGAAACAAAATCGCTGAACAGAATGTAAATGCATTACTGAATCCACTTCAGTATGTAATTACACTAATACAAATCTATTTTTCGATCTTTCTGTTAAGGCCGATGATACGAAATCGGATCAAACGATCGAGTAACAAAAGGAAGAAGCTTGTGATAAGACTAGTACTTTTTCGAGAAGCAAAGCGCACTGTGGAGAAACAGGCAGTGAGATTTGAAGACTTACAGAGAAGTAAAAGCTTCACCAATGGCGGATTCGAAGGAGAGAGAGAGAGTGTGGAGGAGACTCGGAGAGAGAGTGTGTTCAAGTGCATTTATTGTTCCTTCTTCTCAAAGCAGAGATGAGAGATGAAGTAAAAGGCATAAAACGTAAAATAGGAGTTTTCAAGTTAAATTGTTAAGCGGACGTCAATAAACGGTTTAGTCAGACCGAATAAAACCGAGATTCCCTTTCCGGTTTAACGAATTATTATTCCTCTATGTTTCTCAATTTTAGTAATACAAGAAAAAATGCATTCAAACTCATCACTAATTTGATCAATAATATATCTTGGAACTTTATAGATAAAATAGAATTTTGAATTCTGGTCTGGTTTGAGTTATAGTGGATGTTGGTTGAGTTTGGTTTATTTTGACCATTTGTGTTCTTAACGGCGTCAAATCAAATCGTTTACCTGAATTACGCGTAAATCACTGTTTGCATTTTTTTAATGTTATTTTTGAAGTAGTTTGGATTTTATTTTGTTTTTTCTTCACTAAATAGATTTATCTTTAGATTGGAAGACAATTTTGTATTCCAGTTTTGAGGGGAAAGTTGGAGCCTTTTTAGATTTTCTTTCCCACTCAATTTTAAACTAGCTTAGTCCCATTAACTTATATTTAAATTTTTAAATTTGAATTTGAAATATCGGTTAGTAACTAACGGCCTAAATCTAATAATTTCTTTTATACACACAGATATTCAAACACATCATTTTCTCTAATTATGAATCCGTTTGTAAATCTTCCTATGGTTAAGTGTACTCTACCAATGAATGGTTTTATTAAATAGGATTAATTAAGTAAAATCAATTGTCAATGTTAGACCACATTGAATGTCCTTGGAATTAGTACGAAAAAAATAGATTATTAATATTAACGAATAAACACCATTGTGTGTAGATACATATATATACATATATGTTTGGCAATATTCTATATGGGTGTTATATGAGCTATATATATGTTTATATATTTAGGAATGAAGAAAGAAGAAACGAAGAAGCTTGAGGAAAAAGGAGAAGAAAAGTGGGGTTAAGGAGCATGTGATATGATCCCTCAACATGTGGTTTTCTTTTTCAAACCCTTTTGCTTTCTTTCTCCTCTTTCATTATCAACACAAACACATATGTATATAAGTTATATATTCTATATTGTGTGTGTGTGTGTTTTTCCATAAATTTTGTATGTCAAACTCAGTCTCGCACTCATATCTACGCAGCATCTTTTGGTACCAAACACATGTGGGGATACTTTTATGGTATCGATATCATAGTTCATATTTGTTGGAAAAAGTGATGTATGAAATTTGTAGAGAAATTTACATAAAATTCGTAGCATATAAGCTAAAGACCTAAAACTAGATAGACATATTTATACATATGTGTTATATCATATAACTTACGTATACATGACAGTACCATTTTGATGGCTTAGTAGAACCTTAGACAAGATGGAGGATGACATAAACTCTTGTGCTATTTTTAATAGCATTAAATTTAATCATATGATGAAAAAAAAAATTTAATCATATATATCCAAATAATCTATTATTGACCATAAAAGATCATAATAACTTAAAAAAAAAAAAGATCATAATAACTATTAGAAAAAAGCAGTCTTAACCCTTCGATTAGAAAAAAGTTTCCTAGATTTTGGGATGAATTTTGGTTTATCTGTTATGCGATATTTTTAACTGTATATTATCTCTGTTAATGTAAATTTATAATCTCTCAAAGCAGCGGTTAAAACATAGATGTTTGCAGTTGCAGTTAATGAAACTCGAAGTAAGTAAGAATCGATCGCATGCTTTATGAGATGATAAATGATTTTATATAGGCTTGTATATATGTAGACTTTACATGTGTGTCTTTATATGTACGTATGCGTACATATAATATGATGTATATCATGTATATGTATGAGCTTTTATATTTCATACAGTATACATTTTGCTTGCAAGACACTCTAACAAAAGTAATTAACTGCATTTGCTTGTGTCTTACTTCAACTGTCTTTCACTTTTGTTTTGGAAATACACTCTGGTTATTCAATATAAAAGTAAAACACTAGAAAATGGAAAGTTTTCACATGCATTGTTGAGGTTTTGATACATTCCCCTACCATTACAAATTTACAATTTACACAATTTATAGCCCAATATCAATTACACGTTTTACGTGTTTACGTTGATCGTCAAAACTAAATAATGCTAACAAAAACAAAATGATGGAGTTTATATAAAAAATGAAAGAGCTTATTATAGTCGAAGTATAGCTGTATGCAAAAGATCCGCAAAATCGAAGGACATTGTATAGCCATAGGCAAAAGATTAACAACAAAATGTAATTTACGATGGATTTAAAATGCTAATCAAATGGTATACATATATTCGTGGCATATGAGCGATTGAAGCACCATTACCAAATTTGGACAGACATGCGATCAGTTTTGTTTACTACAATTGGTGACATTTGCAACATGTTTTGTAGTATCAAATTGTTATAATTATATGTGTAGGAATTTAATTGAACTTTGTTTGTCCGACGCCGCGTTTCTGGATGCATCATAGATTCATAAAATAAATATTTCAGGTTTAAAACTATTTAGTGTTATTTCATTCCAAACTAGGAGATTGGCCTGCGCGTATATGCAGGCTTGAACAGTTTTTAAAATGTAATTTGTTAAATATAATACTTAACTCTGTCTCAAATATTTTAATTTTTTTGTAGTATATGAAACTTAACGTCAGTGATAAATTATAAGGCTTTAGATTTAGTAGTAAAATATAATCTAATTTTAATTAAACATTTTGTTATAACAAAAGATCCATTTATATTTTGAGACAGACCTAAAAAATAATAATTAAATTTTGAAAACACAAAAAATATCTTTTTCATAATTGGGCTTTGTAAAACTTAACCGCTATGTTATGGGGTCAAATGAGTACCCGATTACCTGTTTCCTATTTGAAGATCAAGCAAATATACCTCTAAATTTTATCTTCTCTGTCTTTTTTTTTTTTTTTGAACAAAAGTTTTTCATTGACTTTGTAATTAAAAAAGACAGAGATTGATCTGGAAAAAAAGTTCTTCCTTTGTGTTGCCTTCGTTTGATTTTGATTTTGATGTTGATAGGAGATTGATCTAGAGAATATAGTAGATCTTAAGTTCTATTAGCTTTGATTGAGTGATTTGCTCTTTTGCTTCGGCAAAATTTCAATGTGTTTATAGCATTCTCTATGAGGATCTAATACCAATAGAGTAAATCAGATTTTATGTAGTTATCTCTTTCTGTATTAAGTCTTACCTCTTTTCTCCAATATAGTACATAGTAATGACAATCTTGTTCTTTTGCTCTGCCCATATATTGCTACAAGTGCATACTACAGGGGTGATGTTGGTGCGATGCTGGTTTACGAAATGACAAAGCGCAGATCTTTTGAGCACATTCCTCAATGGCTAGAGCAACTACGAGGACACGCCAATAAGAACAAATGTTTTTCATTGATTGCATAATTAAAAAAAAAACAGATATTTATAAATCGTATTCTTTTGTTAGAAATCTGAAAATGACTGTAATATTTTACAACCAAAATGTAAATTTCTTAATTTGGTTGAAAATTCAGTGTAACGATAAATCTTTACTTCATTACACTCGTGATTGGAGTCCATCCAACCTTGAAGTTTAGTTTTAGGCATATTTGATTTAGGTAGATGAACTGAAAGAATTGTCATTTAATAAATTTTGAGTTAGGGTTTGATGTGTTTGATACTCATGTGTTGTTTTTTGTTTTCTTATATAAAGACTCGATTATATAACTTGTACATTATCCAACGTTTGTTTATTGTAGTGCGAATCTTTTAATGTTTGATTTTGATTTTGGATTATATATTATTTTTTCTACCCCAAACATGTTGTTTGTTTATTCTATTTAAACAGATATATTTATTTAGGAGATCTAAATATATTAATTTGGATTGTTGTTAAGATACTAACTGTGTGATATCACGCATGTGCATCTCATAAAAAAATTATGAGATTGTTTACTTTGGATCATTTGGCATAAACAAAATTTTTCTCGGTTCGAACCTAAACTTGCCCACTGTAACACATGATCATTGCATAAAAGAAACCAAAGACTAAATTGATTGCAACTATTGAACACAACACAACATAAATTTCTCCGCCATTGCGTCATCACAAGCACACGGTGGAAGCAGAGCACAAAAACGAAAAACAAATCCAAAACTTTCCGGCAATTAACACCTTTCACAGAAGAAAAAGAAACTTAGCGAGATTATGTCAAATCGAGACCAACGCCACCAACTCAAATGCCATCACTACTTTCCAAACAATGTCGTCGATCATTACAGACAAGAAACTCAGCTCCGGTTGACGCCAGCTGAGCCAGCGCCATCGCTTATAACCACAGCCTGAAAACATCAATAAAATGACGGAAATATTTAAAGACATTTATATAAAGTAAAATAAATTAAACACACAAATATTTTTTGTCATGTCATAATCTACATATGTTTATATATGCCAAGTCACAATTACATCATTATTACACATCACCATTTCCATGTCACATTTAACTAGGTTAGATTGATATTTTTAACCAATGAAATTAAAACAAATAAGCATAATTTATTAAACTACATTGTCAATTAATAGGTAGGAGATATAACTCTTCATTTTTGTTTTGTTAATAAAACAACTGATTTTAAAGATCAATTCCGATGAGCATCCTCCTTGCAGATAATTTTTCTTTTCCAATTTTGATGCGATGTGCTCTATCACCACAATTTACATATTTTCTTTTCTAATACCAAGTTTGTTTAAATTATTCATTTTAAATGCAATTAGAGTAATATTAATAAAAAAATTAGATGTTAATCATATCACATCAAAAGTCAAATGGTTTGTTCTCTAAGTAGAGGTAAAAAAATGAAATCGGATTTAAGTCATTGATAGACTCATTTTCTTAGAGCTTTATTAAGCAAATATAGAAAACAGAAAAATAGGTAATGAAGTAGTTCATTAAAGAGTTTTATCATGTGCACAAAAGTACAAAGAAGAAAACTAACTTAAAACCAAAGAATAAGAAATTTTTACTTGCAGTTCATTAAGAAGAGGAGATGTGTGATAGGTTCAAAATT